TATTAGCTTTAATTTAGGGCTGCATATAATGCTTATTTTTATTATCGACCCATTTGCTGATTATTTTATCGTTTGGTCCGTATGGTGTCAGAAAATCGTGAAATGAACTTTCCAGAGGCCAGGCTGATGTATTCAAATTGTTTGTTTTGTTTAAACCCCCCCGAAATGACCAACATTTCCTATCAAAGAAAAGCAGCACGTCCTCACATTAGAGCAGCTGGAACTAAGGAATTGCTGGCATTTTTGCTTGAACAATAATTAAAGTAGTTAATAAATTATCAAAATTGTTGCAGACGATTATTCTGATGATGTGCTAATTGATTAATTGACTAATTGTTTTGGCCCTACTTTAATTCAAACTGTGAATTTGAGTCATCCGTCAAAAGGAAATCATTAGGAACGGTGAGAAATTCTGTATGTAACCGTAGACAGTCGCCAGTGCGCCGTTTTGACTCGGACACCAGCACTTAGTGTCAGCTGCTCATCAACTGCTCGTAGTGGGGTCTGTTTTCTGATTTGTCCTCCGCTGGGAGCTATCATGCTAGTATTTTCGAGCCAAGTATAAAAACTGTATTGTTTCTTTTTTTCTCTCTCTCTTCCATCAGCCCACAAAAGCTGTGTAAACATAGGAAACTCACTTAAAGTGGCATCTGTATCACCCTTGATCCAGGGTGCTATGACAACTATAGATGTAGCTGTGGATAGAGAAGAAGATACTTTTGATACCCTGATTGAAGTGATCATTTTGCTAAAACTATACAAATCAATGCTGTGTCCTTTTTAAGCTAATTGCAAACTCATTTTTGTATTTTGTGGAAAAAAGAACATATGCAGCTCCTTTTCCTGCTGTGTTTGTCTGCTATTTTGCCTTGTATTGAGCTTCTATTGTTAAATCCATGTTACAGTCGTGATGAGTCAACAACTGAAAAAAATAGAGACCTACTTTAGCCTTCCTGCTTGCCTGTGTATCCAGGGCAAGCATAGTTTAAACATAGTCATCATGTTTTTAGCATTCAAAACATAAAAAGAACAATTGCAACCAATAATTATGAGCTTTCAGACAATTTTTAAATAAAATAAATGTAATAAAATGTACTTTTGTTTTCAGTTACCATGACTGTTTAATGCGTTTGTAACACTAGCAAAGTTGGCACACCCAAAACAACAGTAACTTTCAGATGTGTTTCAGATGTCGTTATTTTCTGATGGAGCTTTGCTGTACAGTTAAGTATTTTACATTTGCACTGTGATTGGTCGATGATAAACCCAAAATTATATAACTTTTAAATAACAGTTAAAGAAAAATCTGCTTGCCAATGCTGTCTGTCTGTCTGACTGTGATATCTGATTTTCTGTCTGAAATATTTCTTAGAACTTTTAAACATCACGCTTTGTGAATTTAAAATACAAACAACTGAATAACCCTGTAATTTTCATGTAGCATTTGAATAAAAAACAATGTGGTTTCCTGTCTGTTGAATGAGTAATTGATGGAATGTGAAACTAAACTCAGTCTACATGACAGCTAAAAACAAACCAATGCGCATCAGAAAAGAGAGCCCTTGTATCTGTCTGTCTGTTGGTCGGTCTGTTTGTTTGTATTCATACAAGATAAAGTTTTAGTAGTACATGCGAAGATCAGCATTGTGTATTTGAAATCCAAACAACAAAACTGACCAAAATAATCCATTTCAGATGGAACTGTTGAGTTGAATATGAAACAATGTGCTCTCTGTGCTCTAATTGGTGGAACATGGGGCTTAACTCTTTCTGCATAACAACTAAAAATGTACTGAGACACATCAAAAAGACCTTTCAAAGACAATCATTTTCCCCGGGACAGAGGAAAAATCACTGAAAGACAAGGAAGAAACAAGCATAATTAGTTTGACCACCATGTCATTTGAAACGGCATTAGCAATAACAAATCAGAAAACAATAAAAGATGAGAACAAAGATAAATTAAAGGGCTTGTGTTTCATGGTAAAAATAATGGAAAATGAATTTGAGTGGAGTGTGTGTGGTTGTCAGCGTGCACATACATTTTCTGTGTGTGTGTGTGTTTGTGTTTTTTGGTGGCAATGAGACAACTTAGCATGTGTATATGGGTACATGCAAAACATGTCTGTGTGTATGTGTGTGTGTGTGAGCGAGGGAGAGTTAGTGAGTGTGCATTTGTGTGTAATCATGTACGTCAGGCCGTCATGAATGGTGTGTTTGAGACAGAGCGGAGTGTGGAGTTCCTCGGGCTGGACCAAATTGGAAACAGAAAAACAAACATTCCCTAGGAACCCCCGCTCTCCACGTCCCCCCACCCCTCCCCTCGTCTGCTGGCTAGTGGCGCAGTCCAACCTGTCTGGGACAATGTAACGGTCTATAGTCGGACCAGACCACACACATTCGTGGAGGGGGGTCGGAGCGCAGGAGGAGGCAGCTGTGGTGGTGGTGGTGGTGGGGGGGTTCAGCCACAATGACAGTTGGAAAAACAGACAGAAGAAGCATATGAAAATGACAGAGAGCTCAGTGACGGATTGATGGGAAAGACAGAGTGATGGAAGGGAGAGAGGGAGGAAAAGTGAGACGGAGAGTTAAAAGTTGATGGACATGAGATGTGGAAATGGGAGTTGTAGCTGCAGATGGGAATGAAAAAATGAGATATGTCACGGTGTAGCAATAAAGGGGGAAAAAAGAGGATAAGGAGAAATACATAGGGGCAGGGAAAGACATTGATTGAGTAAATGAGTAAGCAGCAGCTCGACTGAGTCAGAGCTCCACAGGGAAAATATTTAGAGTCACACTCACTCTATAAGAAAAAGCAAACTTTTTTTCTCCCTTTTTCTTTTCCTGTTGTGAGTAATACTAATGAATAAGTCACCCTGCAGTTATTCTTTTTCTTTCTTTTGTTCATGGAGAAAAACGCTCTTACTTTCTCTCAGCTCTAATAGCTAATGCTATTATGTGGTCAATCATGTAATAACCGGAAGCATATGTGTGTGTGTGTATGTGTGTGTGTGCGCGCGCGCTTAGTGTTATTTCACAGTTAGGATTTTACAGCCGGGAGAATACTCACAATGGATGAGCGTGATCTTTGTGTTTGTTTGCCTGTATCTACATGTTTGCATTTAGTCCCCATACCGTGTTATGTGTGCATTTACATTTTACATTTTAAGCAGAGAAATATTAGATGTCCTCGTTGGGGATACCGGATGTCTACCTAGAAAATATCGACCACTTTTATTCAAAAATATGTAATATGTGTAATATGATATAATCTTTATATCCTCAAAAACATTACTGTTTTAAGATGGGAGGGCCTTTAAATGACTCACACTCGAGTAATGACTCAGAATGTGCCTTAATTTTCATGCCAGCAATCCGTTTTTCTTTGGAAACATTCAGATAATGACCCACTCCAGCTCTCACATGGCTTAATTTTATATCTATAGTCCAAACAAAGTCAGAACTGCATGTGGATGTGGTCAGGACCACACTGAACCAGGTAAACCACAGAACAGGTATCCTGGGATATGAAAGAGCCCTTCCTTCGCATCCATTCCAGCTCTTTTGCTGTCTTGTTTATTTACTTTGCATTTCAACTTCCAGGGCACCATGTGGTGGAAATATACAATTAATAGTTCTGTTATGGCAAAAAGAAAGACTGTTTTAATATGCACATCCTCAGAATGAAGAAGATGAAACGGGCTTTATAAGCTACCAAGAAACAAGTCCCAAATGTAGACTCTGCTCTGAAGTTAGTTTTTGCGCAAGTGTGTATTTGTGTGTGTGTGTCTGTGAAGAGTCGGACTTGTCTCTTATCCACCACTGATACACACACAAACACACAGACACACACAGACACACACACACCTACACGTGCACACACACTACCCAGACTGACCCAAGGAAACTGGCTTTGTATAAATACAGACTCAGATTTAGATTTGCGGTGAGAGGGAGAACGAGGCAAGACGGATGGAAAGAAGAAGAAGAGGTGGCAGAGAGAGGGAGGGAGAGGGGAGTGGTACAGACAGAGAGGGTGGGGTGATTTTTGTGGTTGGGGCAACAAAAGGGGGAACTGAGAACTGGAGAGTCTGACATTTAACACTAGCATTACCGGATAAAGAAAATACAATTGTCAACGGTCACAGCCACTGGACATTTAATACGCAGAAATGAATTTATGTATGATTTCCTTGAAATTGCTCATTGATGACTGCTTTGTTCTGATTCATAGAGCGATCAGTATTGAAATGAAGTGAATAATAATTTTAGAAACACAGAGAAAGAGAGAAGTTGTGTGCTGGTGCCATTGATTGCTACCGCAGGCTGTAATTGTTTTCTAATTTGAATTAATTCCTTGCGCTTTTTTTCCTGTCACCAATTTATTGGCAGCACAGTGTACGAAACACTTTAATTTCAAGTGTTTTCAGCTGACCAGTTTGTTTTGCTGTTACTAGACCGCACCGACTTCAACAATGCCCCCCTCCCTTCCACACATATACAAGCTTGTTGTAAAAAAAAAGCATTTGCTATTAATTTCCTTGAGCATGGCCTTCACCACATGCTTTTTAAAAAAGGCAGATGGTACACCGTTTTCACATTCTTTTTGTAAATGGCAGATTTTAGAGAAAAATACAACAGGTTTCTTCATTTGAGAAACTCTGGTTGATGGTTTCTCTTGTCAATAGCATACATCTTTTTTTACAGATAAACTATTGGTGGCTTGGCTTCACATGTGGAAGGAGTTGTCAGTTGTCAGCTATGATGTTAAAAACAAAACTGGTACAATTTGAGAGTTTTACTGACTAAAGGACTCAGCAGAGAAATATTTCCGCTTATTGTTCAGCCAGTAATTTAGATGCCTTGGATGTGTGGACGAATTTGTTTTCAGTATACATGAAATATGGACAAAATGTCTGAAGTCTGGCTCAAATAGGTTCCAGTAAATGTTGCAGAATGTGCTCATTTCTAACATTATTTGTCCTTCTGTCATTTTCCAGGTTGTTAAGGTGATGCTGGATTCTGACAACCGTGACTGAGGACCTAAAGCGAAGACCAGACAGCAAGAAGGGCAGCCATCATAATACTTCTTCCATGGAACTACATCACACCTGATCTAACTCAAAGCTGCTTTTGCTCAGCTGTTAAGAATAAGAGGAGCAACATCCCTGGACCAAAGCTGGCTGATTCTACACGGAGTTAAAAACCTTCTTAAACAAATGTTTTTGCTCTGATGTTCACGGACGTGTGTGGAGTTACGTGGACCTGATAAAAAAATGGAGGGATATTAGTTAGGGCCCGACACCTGGTTTTCTGCTTCCCATTATCGTGTGGAGTACGGAGGGCCAGTAGCCGAACTGTTGGCTGCTGCTGGACGGAGCTTCGCGGCGCTGGGTCGAATCGAGCCGCTTCAACAGAACTGATGCCAAGAGTCAGCCATGATGTTTTTGTAACCTGATGAACAGCAGAGGTAGGACATATATGTTTTAATCTAGGCTGGTCATTTTTTAAAATCATGAATCCCTCAATATTTTGTAGTAACTTTAAAACTTATTATCTCCATCACAAGGTTTATGTGATGACTCATTTGACAAAATTAAATACTTGAACAACTTTTAACACCTTTACTATATATGAAATACAAACTAATGTATAAATAATTATTATATGTATTTAAATTACATGCCTGCACCCTTCAGTAACATTTAGTAGTATGTGATCATTGGTCATTCATTTTCTATCAATTGGTTGTTCTGATTTATTGTTAGATATCGCTGATATCTGAGGCCATGAGTAATTATTGGCTATCAATTGATCTCAAATTGATGTCTGTTTAGTTTTTGTGTTTACCACATAAACAAATATATTCATACTGTAGAATTAGCCTTCAATGTTAAGCACTGCTCTAATTTACGTTGATAAAAAAAATACATTGCAACCTTATTAGGCATACTGCAAAATATGTTATTCATTATCGAATACAAAGGAGTTTGAGTGTGTGTGGTTGTGCATGAGGCATGTTTTTGTTTAAACTTTAAAAACAAATAAACACAAAACTACATTCATCATTTGTTTGGATGAAAGAAAGAAGTTTCAACCGGCTACTCAAATCTCAACCAGTATGTGGGTTTTAGTAGATTAGAGTTGTTGCCTTTAGCCAGAATGGCCCAGGGGATAGTTTACTGAAACTAAATGACTGCTGATAAAATGGTGTTTATGCAGAGCAACGGTATTCTGAGAAGTATTATGAAAAAGTGCTCTTAGTCATCACCCTTGGAGGAAGTGAGTGTGTGTATGCTACATATGCTCTGGTCTTCAGGCTTAGCTGCTTGACTTGTGAGGCGGGAAACCGTGTGTGTGATTATTATCCACATTCAAGAAAAGGCTGAAGAATGTCTTTGACATTATCGAGCGACTGACTCTTCGCCAAGCATTACCTGCTCCTCCATCATGCCTACTCTGTTGCACGCCCGCTCAGTAAACCTCATTAGGAACAGAGCTCATTAGTTCCTCACACTCAGTAAAGTTTAGTGGTAGCTAGTTGGTCACTTGTTTGAAAGGTAAGATCATACATACTCAGAGCAAAATATGTAAGTAATTGTTACCACGCGGGTCTCGTTAACTTATCCTCTCTGACATAACTGTTTTATTTCGCTTTGCAAATACTGTAAACTTTTACTCCACCACTGCAGTGATAAATGCAAGCAGTTAACATCTGGTAGATTGGTGATAGTGATTGTGAGCATGCAATTACAGGGTGATGATGTATAACTGGACACTTTTGTGCCTGTTATTAAAATGTAGGGCTTTATTTTAACTTTGAATACAATTAGTTTAAGAAGCCTTGAGTGTGAACAGGCCATTTTTTTCTGTTGCTGCGTGCATTCATGTGTTCGGTAACACACACAGTTCATTGTACTACAGGAAATGCAAATACATACAGTTGAGGTTATTATGTAAGTGTGCGCACAGAGCTGCAGTGGTTTGTGGTGAAGGGGTGCATTAACAATAACTGTGTGAGTATTATATTGTTTCTGTTGAAATTATGTGTTTGTGTTTATGTGTGCTGGTGTAAAGCAAGCTATATTTTGAGTGTGTTGTGTCGTTTTTATGTCGAGTTATGCTGTATGCTATGCAGAATGCTTCTACTCTGTACTTGGTGTGTATGTGAGAGACAGAGCATGAGTTTGTAAATTTTGTTAACATACTTTTTCCGCACCGTATTTTGTTGGATCAGGACTATTGTGAAACTGTGCCTTCAATGTGCACACACACATACACAGACAGTTTGTATAGGACTGCTTCGATTTTTTTTCTCATAGTCATCAGTTGTACCAAGTGCACACACACACAAATACAACTGCTGCGTTATCCTCCTACACCTGTGTCACCACACACCCTGAAGCGCTGTCTTTCTGTTTCCTTTCTTTTTCTCACACACACTCATGCGCTCTCTCTCTCTCTCTCTTTTTTCCTGCTGTCTCTGCAGTTTTCATTGTGAACTGTTTCTGCTGGAGTAGTAAAACAAAAATTGTGAAAACTGTCCACAGTGACGTGTCTGTGTTATGCACAGTAACTGGGATATTGTTTCGGGAGACTGTTGAGTTTTACAAATGTCATTTTTCAGCGCTTTGAAACCAATTTCCACTCATTCTGATTGTATCGGTGTGGTGGCAGAAGTCGTACAGGAGAATTTCCCCAAATCTCCTCAAATAAATCTATCTGTAAGGGTTAACACCACCAGGGCTAAGTGGGAAAATACGTTTGTGTGTGTGTGTGTGTGTGTGTGCGTGCGTGCGTGTGTGTCACTTGGGTGAACAGAACCTTTAAGGGCAAATTCAGTGAGACTATCTTACTTTCTATTTTTGCGTGTTCCTGCCGTGTATTTCTAGGGATGTCTGTTATTTTAGTGTGTTTGTATAGATAAATGATTAGTGCAAGTTTGAGTACATGGTACTGGGTACGTACTTATGAGGCCTTTTGCGCACACAAGTGCGGACAAGTGTTTATGTGTGTTTGTATGTGTGTGTGTTTGTGTATGTTTTTCATTATGTGGCATGGTGGCTTTGCTCGGTGATGTTATTCAGCAGGGCGGATTGCTTTGAGCTGCCTGATGCTTTTAGCTGTGGTCTGTGTGTATGTGTGTGTGTGTGCGCGTGTCCAACTGTGTCTACATATGTGTACGTTTACATGCCTTCAACTGTGTATATACACATGTGCATGCATGCTTCTGTGTGTATGTGTGTGTGTGTGTGTGTGCGTGTGTATTGTGGTATTATGTTGTCTTTGATGTGCCAGTACAAGTCAGATTTGGAGTTTTAGAAAACTGAGGAATGTTGAGTGGAGACAATTCAGTCAGGCCCACAAGCAAGTTTGACTCTGATGCTACACACAAACACGCTGACACACACAAACACAAACACACACATTACTAAGACACTTAGGGGTTTATTTCTGTGATGTAGTGCCCCACAAATGAGTTTCGCTGCTCTGAGGCAGTGAATCCCCATGTGTTTTTTCTTCTCGTATGTCAGTAGAACGCCTTTTCTTTCTTTCTGTCATCCTCTCACTGTCTGTCTCTGTGTGTCACCCTGTCTCTCCCACACACGCACACAAATACCAAAAGTCACATTAGACCCTGTAGACAGTAGACAGTGTATCAACAAATGTCTGTAAGCTACCTGTTGACCTATTTGCACAAAAATGGGTCAACAGGTTAGTCCACTGTGTGTGTGTGTTTTTCTGATGATCTCATCGTCTCACATTCACATCTTTACAGCGAGATGTACCACATTTCGTTCTCACACATAAATGAACACGCACATGCAGGTTTTGGTGTTAGTGTTTCATTCTGTATGTGTGTGTGTGTGTGTGTGTGTGTGGGACAGCAACAGATACCCATTCATCATTCTGTACAGAGAGCATTAAACCTCTGCCCCTCACACACACATACACATAGACACGCGCACACACACAGAAGCATGCACGTATGCACTCACACAGTAGGTTTTTCTCTTTGTCCCCCAAATCCCAAACAACAATTAATTCAAATTAATTCCAATTAAGGCTTATTAATTATGCAGACAGAGATAGATAAAAGAGGTGTCACCAGCTGTCAAGTCAATTAATGACTTAATTTGTTGGTTTGTTAATGATCAGCTTGTGTATAAGGGCACAGAATCAATCAAGGCTCAAAGTGACAGATGTGTGTGTGTGTTTGTGTCTGATTTTCTGCAAGGATTTCTGTGTGGAGTGTGTGTCTGTTTACATTCTTGTATTATAGTTATTTTTGTGTGTGTGTGTGTGGGGAGTTTCTTAGTAGGCTTAATTTCGGTTAACAGGTGAGGTACGGGTCACATACAGGTCACGCTCGGGTCACAAGCAGGCCTCATAAGTAGACTGATCCTTGATTCCTTAAACACAGCTCTTTGTCTCTGTCTCTCTCCCTGTCACAGTGAAAACCGCTGGGCTGATAGGGAGACACTGTAGTTCAGGCTCAAGTCTGGCAGATAACGGTGTTTTCTTGGAGTCTTGGATCGTAGAGACTCACTATCTCCGCTTAGAATGCAATACATGAGGACTCCAGATTTCAACGTTACACAGGCAATGCATTTGAGTCTAACATCCAGCAGACTGGTTGTTCAGAATAAATGTTCAGCTAAAAATTACGGTAATGAGAAAAGATTACTACCGTAATCCCCTTCCCCCACAACTCTGCCACCCGCTCCTCCCCACCGCTATCCATTCAAAACATAGTCGGGCTTGCCACAAGCAAGATTGCCCAGCAAGATTGCTCAAAAAGTTGCCCCGTGTATCATCAGCTTTAGGAATAGCAGGGGGATAATATTGTGGACCAAAAGGAATTCTTCAGATTTTGGTGTTCACACTCTGATCTCCTCGGCAGAGCTTCATTAAAGATGTTCTGTAAGACATCCTTCTTTAATGAGAATGACACCTGGCTCACGTTAATTTTCAGTACAGTAACGACAATGCACGCAGTACAGTACCATCATATAAATTACAATATGGTGTTTGTCACAGCGAGTCACATGTTTGTATCTGTGCATAGGAAAGTAGGAACATTGTCTACAACAACTTTACTTTGGCATGTCTATAGTTGCCAGACTCATGCCAAATTCATGATGAATGACTTCGGCCCATGTACACGTATGCCTTTTCTCAATCTTGGGCCAGTCCATGGGGCACTTGAGTCCCGAAGCTAGCCCCAGTACTGATAGCTCTTTCTCATCCCAGATTGACCCCCTGTTTGCGGCCCTTAAACCTTGTCAAACCTGGCAGCCATATACAGTATAGAGAGGTTGCCGTAACACTTGACTGTAACCAAACTGTGGGAAACTCTTAATCAGAATTTAGCCTGAGCACAGTATGCCTTTTGACCCTCCTGTTATTGCAGCAGGAAAGTTATTTTATTGAGAGTTTTCGCGTAAACACCTCTGAAATTTACTTTCC